AATGAGAGTTCATTTCCATATGATATAGAACTTTTTTTTTTATTCGCCGCTTTTTCCTACAAATATAATAAAGATAAACATACTCTTACAATAAAACTTGCATAATTCATCATCTATGAAGTACAAATTGGAATATCCTATTTTATGGAATTACAAATAATTATAAAATACAACATTCTAAATTATTACGCTATCAAATTAGTGTAGATATAACTAAAGACTGGAAAATATTTCCATCGCTTTTAAAAACTATTCAAGATTTAACTTTGAAATAGTGCTAACAATTTGAAATGGTCTCCCACATGTGGTTTTCAGATATACAGTGCATTGTTGGTCCAATCGTGCGAGAGAATATTTATATTCTTATTATAATACTTTTTAATTTTGTTGTGGGACTGAAAATTAATAAAATAGTTTTAATCACATAAAGAAATAAGAATCTTTTGTCCTTGTTTTATAGAAATTAAAATTAAAATTTTGATTTAAGTCAAAATCAATAACTAAATTTAACCACACATTTTATGAAATTCATAACTTTTCAATTATATTTCATAAACTTTTATCAGCATCTATTAAAAAAATCAATTTTAATTTCCATCAAACGTAGACAAATATTCTGGAAGTGGATTGTTTACGAAATATCCTTGTTGGTGGATGTCATTCATTAATTCATTGCAAATTGAAGAAGAAGATTGCAGGTTCTTGACAGGACGTTTATTCGTCTCATAAATGTATTTATCTTTTAGTGTCCTTCCTCACTCTCCATTTAGGGTTTTGCTAACTGTGCATGGCCCCGATGTACAACCCCCACTCACCATTTTTTTATTGGGCGTGAGTCCCCTTATGAGGGGCTGTTCACTGGAGTATACAGAAGAAACTTTTCCATTTATCTTTCTCTTGAACGATTCCACGACATTAGGGATAAAATGTCACACCATTGAATAATAATAATAATAATAATAATAATAATAATAATGAACTGTAAACTTTTTTTCTTGAAAATGATACTTTTAAAATTGATCTCAAGACTCCATATGATATTAGAACATAAAAAAACTCAAAGTCATAGGATTTAAGATTAGTATTTTCAAACGAGTTACCATCTTTCTTAATGATATAAAATCGAATCATGCTATGCTGTCACTAGCTTAAATATAATCAACATATAATGATTTAAGTTAATCATTAATTAGGTTGATCTTTAAGATGGAAAGACTATTAATATTTTAGGTACGCCATGAATTTTTCACCAAGTCGTTTTTTCTAAATTCTTTTTTAATTTGTTAATATGTATTTAATTATTTGAAGTAAAATTTTATTTGTGCTTTTTGTAAAGTTATAGTACTTCATTTGAAATTTTTCTTTATTTTTGGTTGTTATTTGATGGCAAAAATAAAGAGAACGACGATCTTTGTTACATAATTAAAAGGTCATGAATGAATTATGCTAACAAAAATTGAGTGTAAGTTTATTACATTTCGCAAAGGTTGGCGAAGAGAAGTAGAAATTCATTCTTCTTTTCAATCATACATATTTTTTAATAAAATAATACCAATCATACTTGGGGCATAATGTTCTTGACAACATGCCATGTGGAACGTTGTGATTGGATAGTTTAAAAAATAATTTCTTATCTCATCCAACACTTTTTTAGCATCTACCAACATTGTCAACAATATTGGAAGAAAAAATTGTAAAATTGGTATTTCCCAAATAATATTACACATAAATTCAAAGTCTATTTTTATTTTTTAATCGTACATTTTCTATCAATCTACTTTTCCAAAATACATTCTACAATAAAACTGGGATCAAACAGGCTTTTCATCACTTTGACAATAGATTGTTTGGAGGATTCAACTATGCGAGTCAATAGTCATGCATGCACACGAGGCAAAGTTAACTCAATATTAATGAAATGATATATAAACACTCTTAAAAATAATTTATCCATGCAAGAAGCTTGTAGATCACATAAATCTCACAAAATTACCCCTTTTTTTCCCCCAGATATCAAGCACAGAATAAACTGTAACAGTACTTATATGACTGCCTTTCTTTCCGTTTCATTCTTCGGCTTCCTTTTTCTTTTAGACAATCTCCAACTCTTCTTTTTCTCCTCTTCATGTATTTCTTGTAATTGACTTTTCTCTATCTTTGACCGTTCAGTGTGCCAGTATCTTAACTGCCTTTTTGTTGAAGCCAGTTGGTGAAAACTTCAAGTGTTTTCATGTCAGCTCTGTAATGCTTCTGTGTGAATTCGAGAAGAGCCGGCCATGTGAAATCTGGATATATTCTTGGATTTTCTTCACATATCAATTCTTTTGGAGGGCTTACCATTTTGTCCATTTTTGGACAAAGAAAGAATGCCAAGGATTTCCTTGGAACTTTACTGTTTACAACTGCTCTATGCAAGCAACTCTTGTAAATCCCATTCGATAGAGCCTGCAAAACATTATAGTAATGGTTAGTCCTGTTCAATACTGTCTACTGAACACGTACACTAAGAGGTTTTTATCTTACCATGAACGTGTCACCAATGTTGACTACAAAAGCTTGTGGATTGGGAGGAATGGAATGCCATTTTTCATCTACAAAAACTTCAAGGCCACCAACATTATCCTGATGAAGGATAGTTAAGGAAGTAGGGTCACAATGAGGGCCTGTCCCAAGAGTTTGATCAGGATTTAGACAACGAGGGTAGTAGTTTAATCTCATTATAGAATCATTTCCTTCAAAGAATTCTCTGAAACAAGCTGGTCCCACCCCGAGGCTCGTTCCCAGGAGCTCCATGATATTAAGAGAGAGACTACTCATGGCTTCAGAATATTCTTGGCAAACCCTCCTTTGACAAGCAAAAAAAGAAAAATAAAGACGTAATGAGAAACACTGAAACAGCTTAAGCTTTTAGATTAATCAGTTCAACAAGTGTCATTTCGTACCCGAATTTTCTGTAATTCTCCCCCATCACATTCAAGAAATAGCTCTCGACAATGTTGGACAACTGAAGATCAGCGCTGTAATGAAAAGAAAGTGTCTCTTTCCAGGGAAGTTTGGAGGAAAATCTACCAGTAAAACTACTAGCATAGCCACAGTGGTCACCAATTTTTCTCCGGGCCCTTTGTTTCTCGTCGAGTGGCTTCCCAAAGAAATAGTCTATTCCCTTGTGAGCTTCCTCGACGAGAGCCAAATCAACCCCGTGATTTACAACGAGGAAGACTCCGTATTCTCTACATGCCTGGTTGATAACACAAGTAACCGAGTCCAAATCACCTGAGAGAAAGCCACCCAAATCTATAGTAGGGATATTTAGTATCGGTGGTGGCTCGGGGCAAGGTTTTTCATTATCTGGCCATACGAATTGTGATGGTATATTGCACTGGTGTTGAGAAATAGATGCGTCAAAAACCAAAGAATTTTCTTCATTTGGCATTATAATCAAAATGAGAACTGTGATTTTTACAGAAGCAAGAAAATTGGAGAGGTATTTAGTGAGAGTGGAATTAAGAACAGGACATGAAAAGAGTTGTGTAATAAGGTTGTAAGAGAGGCAAGTTGAGAGAAAGAAGCCAAGGACCTTTAAAGGGTAAACGTTGGAATCTTATTGACTTCACACTGTCGTCATCTCACAAATGATTGGAAGTTGAAACCAAAACTATTCTGCCTTGAATTCAGGTACTGCAGTTTTTGTTTTGTCTTTTTTTTTTTTTTTAATTTTTAAATTAACTATATAATCAATCTCGAGGAGCACATTGGATTTTCTTTTCTATTAAACTGAAAAATGGGAGTTTGAATTGGGTGGAATAAATCAAGAAGGATTAAAGTTATAGATTTCTTTTCATTTTTACCTCTCCTTTAGTACAATTAGAACATTCCAGTTGTAACACAATTTGACAATGTTCTTTAGGCAAAGTTGTGATAACATTGATGAGACAATTCGGAAGTATAAGGAACAAGATGCCCGAAAGATAAAAGATAGTGAAGTGTCTGGATTTTAAAACACAAGATAGGGAAAGAATATTATTGTAACTATTTTAACATTTTATTTCATGAAATTTGATTATTCAATAAATGAAGAACAATTTTATGTTAATATATTATCAATTAATAATACAATTTAAAGTTGGTAAATCTTACAAAAAAAATTCTCGCTATAAAAGTAAAATAAAAATAAAAATAATAAATTGAGTTAGAGTATTTATAAGTGGAGGTTCATATCCGCTCGCCCGAAGGAAGGGGATAATCCCTCGATGAAAATGTGGGAAATAAAAATAAAAATTAATGACATAAACTGAAAATATTTTTATTTGTGTTCATTTGAATATTTTTCAAAATTTTTTATATAAATAATTATTAAAAGCTTGAACTATTTTTTTATTTTTTTCTTTTAATTTTTTTAGAAGTTTTTAATAATTTTATTTTTATTTTTCATTTTTTAGAATTTATCTTTTTAAAATTGTTATTTTTTAAAATTATTAAATTTAATTTGTTGGAATTTTATATTTTTTACATTTTTATTTATAAGCTTATTTTCCATGTTTAAAATGTTTTCAAAAATTTCATTGAAAAAACTCAAAATGTCAAAAATACGTTTCAAATTTTATGTTACAAGTTTACCTTATTTTCAAAAATGTACTTTTAGAAATATCATATGAGTTTTAAGTGTTATGCAAAATTGAAAATTTAAAACAACCTAAAAACAACAAACCAAACGCACCATTAACTTTTCACAACAATCGTTTTTAGGAGAACCAATTAAGTTTGGTTTTCATAAACCGATTAATGATACAAATAAACGTAACAAGCTTTTATCGGAAAGAGTTGTCGAAATTGTCATTTTATATTTTTTTTAAAAAAAATAAATAAAAATAGAAGAAGGAAAAGAACTCTTACAAAATAAAAATCCAATTCTTTCACCTCAGTGCCACACCTTCAACGACATACTCGGCTTACAATTTATCAATTTATTATTAATCGTGATATGTAAAAGCTAAAAGTGTCAGAGAAAGAATAACATTTATTTCAATCTTGTCTTTAACGTATCCATGTAGTTTAAAATTTTTATAAATTGAAGATGGTAATCTTTTATGTGCCTCTTATTTTGCTTACTTTCTTCTTGAAGTCACAATCTCTACATCAGGAAAAGGAGAAGCATCTAGGTAGGCAAAAGTTTTACATGGAACTGCTGATATATAGGTCTGGGCGCGAATTTGGTTTGGGTGAATTTCAACTCAAATCAACCCACTTTAACTCTTAAATCGAACTTACGGTTTGTACTTTTAATTCAAACTTGAATTTAAAAAAAAAAAAAAGTTCAAATTTTGGATCCAATTAAATTACAAGAATTAAAATAACTAAATAATTTTATATTAGAAGAATTATTGACTAACAAATAAAATCAGACTAATAGATACAGATCAACAAAAAACTTAAAAATTTTGTAGCCTTTTTATGCATTATGTAGCTTGACCACCTGAATGGGGAAAAAAAACCTAAGTCTAACATAAGGAGTTTGTGAAAGAAAGTTTTCAGTACTATTACTTACCGATAACATAATATATTGAAGAGAATTGTGATATAGTTATGAGATTAAGGTTTATCTTCTAAATTTTATTTTTCTTAAAAAAAAAAGACGATAAATAAGTAAGTGTGTTGGATTGATTCGATTAACCAGCGGTTTGAGACTTCAAACCATGATCGAACCAACCGACCATGATTTTGTTTAAAAAAAAAAAAATCAATTAATTGTGTCAAACCAAGGGTGGACACAAGGGAGTTTTGTGGGGTCACTTGACCCCCTAACTTTTGAGAGTTTTTTTTCTTTTCTTTTCTTTGTCAATAAAGCCCTGATTGACATGAATTAAAATATAAATTTTAATAGTAATCAAAGTTACTAATTAATTTTAATAACATATTTCATGGGATCCATAAATTTTCAATCAAAATTTATTAATAATTTGATTTTAATCTCCATCAAATAGGGACAAAATCGCAATAGATTTGGACTTTTTCATTTTTGCTTACACTTTTGGCACTCTCTTACTCACTCATTTTATCAAAATATTAACACTACACCCAAAATCACATTTTGCAACGATCAAAAAACGTTGCCAAAGACCTATCGCAACGTTCAGGCGTTTGTTATGGATTCAGATGATGCCGTAGAGTGAAGAGTTTTGGCAACGTTCATTGAACATTGCAACTCAAGGTTCTGAGCGTTGCAAACGAGTTTTGGTAACATTCACTGAAAGTTGCGAAAAAGGATTTAGGCAATGTTCATTGAACGTTGCAAAACAGATTGAACGTTGCCGTTTTCTATCTATTCTTTTGAAAAAAAATTACTCATACATTGTTATATATTTATATATTACTTTACATATATAAAAATCATTTCACATTAATTGTTAAATTTATTTATGCAATAAAAATGAGTAATAAATTCCTCATCACAAATCCTTCTTACACACTTGAAAAAACGAAATTACTTGTATCAAAGAAAACAAGTTAGCCTATAAATACAAAAACTAGACTACGTAATTCTTTAAAACTCTCTTCAGCAATTACCTTTTCTCCGTTAACACCCACAGTTTTGTTCTTATCGAGATGAAGCAACATTGCCATCTTCTTGTACCGTTTCTTCAACTTAGACTTGTATGCGGATGGATCCATTCCAAGAATTGAATAGAAATCAAATTCTCCATTAATTTTTGCCTCTGAAGCAATGTAAACTCTAAAATTTGCCACCATTTGAGAAATGCCCTCCAGTTCAGGACAGGACATCTGAGCTTTAAAAGCTTAATTCCTTGCACCAACAAAATTTCTCTCTGCAAACTTCTTCTCAGCATTTGCTTTAAACCTGAGCGCTTCCTCTAAGTTTGATTCCATCTCAAATATCTGAAATCAAACCCAAATTCTTGAATGCACACTACAAGCAGCATACAATGGGTAACTGTTCGAGTCCAATACTCAAAATAACCATGGTAACACAGTTTGCTCATTTTCAAATAAAAAAATTAATCATCTTTCCTGGACTTTACGCAATCTACAATTAATACTGTCATTACACAACTAATTCAATTTCACAACCTAAGTGATTATATCCACATCAAATCAATTGATTTTCAATTTATATAGCAAGTGGATTGATATATAAAACAACAATCTTTAACTTCATCCTAATAAAATGCAGATCAATTTCAAGCTCAACCGCACACCAGATACTAAAAGCGCAATTTAAAAATCATCATAAGAGCTTCTTTTATACAGTCCAGAACATATCAGGCAAGAAATCATACTTAAAAAATTATTTTCTCAAGGAACACTCACCTCTACAAGATAGTCAAACAATTTAAAGTTCAATTCAACGATTATAAGAAAAGAAAAATCAAATTCGACCATAACGTTCACATTGAGCAAAGATCTGAGCCAACACAAACTCAAATCATCAAAATTTATGAAGTAAAGTCATTATCTCGTTGTTTCTGCTGAAAATTGAACACTTTTGTAACTTGCTCATATTTGAATCATACTAAGTAACACTCTGAACCCAGACCACCAAAATATTTTCTGATCCTTCAATTTTCTTCAGATCCACTGAGAATAAAGGGATCTCGATGGAATTGAATAAACTTGGTTTACAAGAAAAATTTATATGTACAATTACTGCATATTTCTATATGTACATATCATAGTACGCAGCCCTCGAACACCATCCAAAGTGATTTTTTCTACTGCAGCTTCACCACTAAGTTTTAAATCCTTACTCCACTAGCAAAACGGAATAAGGAATAAGATGCAGTATAGAGGAACCTACAAACACACAATAAAAGAACAGGAACCTACAAAAATAATTATAACTACTTGCAGTTAAGAGTAACTTCTACTTCATTGACTTTCATCACTGTCACCAAATAAAAGCACCAAACATAAGTAGAAATAACCAGTACTGATAATGTACAATAAAGATAAAAAAAAAAATTACTTGCATATTATTGTCCCTAATAAAATAAATCTTGAAAACTATTAATTTAACGGAAAATCGACGGCAAAATGACTAAAATGTATAAATCCAACCCCCTCAAGCTCGAGCAATCAAACAAATTATATAAATTCATTTTGCTCACGATTAACGTTCAAATATGTTAAACTGCTTAAATCCATCTTAAACTGCCTTCCAAAGATGTTGTATAGGTCCATCTTACTCGTACTAAATAAATAAAAAGAAATGAGAAATGAAAGGGCTTTTGGGCTTCACCTTCTTCTATTGACCGAATGAACTTCTTCTCTCACCTACTGCCGAATGAACTTCAGTACTTCAGAGAGTTCACGGTTCAGTGCTAAGTGGTCTACGCCTTCTTCTTCTAAAAAGATTCCCCGGCTGCCTGTTGTACTCTCGTTTCGGCTGCGTCGTTGATGGTGTCGATGGAAGAAAGGCGGCTTCGCATCAAGGGCTCAAAGAGACACGAGAGAGAGAGGGATTTTGGTGGCGAGAGTGAGAGAATGGTCGTGCTTGCTGTCTTGCAGATCATTGACGAGAGAGCGAGAGTGAGAAAGAGGGGGAAGAAATTAGGGCTATCCACGGTTTTAGAGTTGAAATTGAGTTTTTTCCAAACTATCGGAGTCGGGTCGGGTCAGGTCGTGTGGTTTGGGTTTTGTATGTTTTAATTAATGACAACGTTTGAAGAATGTTGCCAAAGATAATTAACTGCAACGTTCACATGAACGTTGCTAAAACATATAATGGCAACGTGCATTGCACGTTGTTGAACTAATTAACTGCAACGTTCACATGAACGTTGCTAAAATATATACAGCAACGTCCATTGCCCGTTGCAAAAGTAGATAACGGCAACGTTCTTTGAACGTTTCTAAATATCTACAGCAACGGTCAAAGCACATTAAAAAAAAAACAGCGGCGGTCTATGAACGTTGCAAAAGGGTGTTTTAGCAACATTCATTCAAAGAACATTGTTAAATCTTAATTTACTCAACTAATGGTAACATACATTTGTTGAATATTGCAATAGACCTCTTTTAGCAATATGCAATTGAAGAATGTTGCCGTTTACATGGTGCGAAAAGATTTTTTTCTTGTAGTGTAGCTCTTCTAATTTTTTTAGAATTTATCTATAGTTTCCCTATAAATTATAACATTTACTTTACTTCCTAATTATATTTTGAATCTAAATTTGCATTTTCCCCTATCAAATTGTGTATATAGAATGAGTCTTAAATGATTATATCCAATTCGACTTATATTTAACAAATTGTGTTTATTTGATAGAATATTAATAGTGAATATTGTTTATATTAAATACACTATAAATTCTTTAAATATAAATATGCATTTTTTTATGATGAGCAAAATATTAATAAAAGAACTGTTCGAAATTAAATGGATGAAAATGATGAACAAAATTTTAATAAAGAAATGTGTTTTTAAACTTAATTCTACGTTTTCTTGAGTCAAATATGAATTATTCAAAAATCAAGAACAAAATTTCGATCTATGCGAGGTTTGATTGCCTCCCCCCCCCCCCCCTCTACAGGGAAAAATATATATTCTGACGGGTGAGTTTCGTCGCCGTCAAGAAAGGTTTCTCATTTTTAAACTGAGAGAACTATTTTAAGGCATATTTACACAACCGAAACTAAGGACCAACAGTTTAATTGTCAAGGCAAGTTCAAGGCCATAAAGATTTGATGCACAAGATTCATGTAATTGGAAGAGCAGTCATGGTGGGAATTTAAGATTTAGAAACTGGGGAGCAGAAGAAATCCCCAATGAATTCATATCAAGAATTATACGGAAAAAGGTAGATCAAATGCTGGTGGTCTCAAAAAGGTGGTTTTGTGCTATACAGATAAGCAAATTGTAGCAACAACTACAGAATCATATCACATCACACGAAACAAATTAAAGCCCCTGTTTGATCCCCTTTTTAGGGTAAAATGTATTATGAAATAGTAATTTTTTGGAGAATGTGTGGTTAAAAATTAAGATTTTTTTTTTAAATACGTGTATTAATTATTTTAGAGAAGAATGTGTGGTTAAAAATGAGATTTGAAAAAATGGGGCTTGTTTACCACTAAAATAGGAAAATAAGCTTAAAAAAAGTAATTTTTTGAAGAATGTATATATAAAAAGCAAGAAAAAGTTAAGAATTTGTGTATAAAATATTTTATTATGAGAATGTATAGTTAAAAATGAGTTTGATAAAAAACTAATTTCAAAATCATGATAGACAAACATATACTAAGCTTTATAGGAGAAGCGAATGAAACCTAATTTTTAAATGGATAATTAGCACAAAACGTTATTACCTTTCAATGTTATTGTACAAAACGTCATCACCTTTCATTTTTTTACATTTTCACCCTTACCTTCACATTTTATCGCGAAAATCATCATTTTCTTCAAAATTTTCATGTGAAATAACATATATACCCCATATTTAAATTTAAAAAAAAAGGCTAAAAAATAAATTGCAATTAGACTCTCAAACTTTTTTAAAAGTGAAAATGAATCCAAATAAATTATTAAAAAGTTAATTATTACAAAACATCCCTACCTTTCATTTTTTTTGACATTTTCACTCTTATTTCATATTTCATTGCAAAAAATGTTATTTTCCTCCATTTTCTCAATTAAAAGTTGTAAAATGAAAAATATACAGTCCTCTTTAAGTAAACAAGAATAAAAAAATAAATTACAACTATACTCTCAAAATTTTCAAAAAAGTACAAATAAATAATTAAAAAAGATTTTTTAAATTATTTATTTGAAACTTATGTACTTTTTTTTTTTTGAAAAATTTGAGAATATAGTTGCAATTTGTTTTTTATTTTTATTTCTTTAAAGAAGATGGTATATTTGTTATTTTATAGCTTTTAATTGATAAAATGGATAGAAATAATGAATTTAGTAGTGAAATATATAAATAAGGACGAAAATGGTAAAAAAAAAAATTTGGACATTTTGCACAATAATAATGAAAGATGAGGGCATTTTAAACTAATTACTCTTTTAAAAATTTATTTGAACTCATTTACACTTTTTTAAAAAGTTCGAAAATATGATTGCTATTTATAACTTCTTTTTTCTGTTTTATTATTTTATTTAAATATGTGATATATTTATCATTTTACACTAGAAAATTGATAAAAATGATGATTTTCATAAAAAAAAAATGTGAAGGTAAGGATGAAAATGCCAAAAAAAAAAAAGTTGTGTTTGTTTTACACAATAATATTAAAAGGTAAAGACGTTTCATGCTAAAGAACGTGGATGTTCGAGTCCTCTTTAAGGAAAAATATTGAATGGTCATTGAATGAGCAATTCAATAAGAGAGCTCGTTTTAGTTATGGGTGAACGACGGGAATTGAATCCACACATGGTGGATTCACAATCACAATTGATCTGATTCAAGATCGTCGAGAGGTAATTCAATAGTTTACCCATTTCAACACTAATCAATAAAAAATTATTTATTCCCTATCATGCTTTAATCTGTATTATATTTTACTTCTAAGTACACTTTTATATTAAGAGCCTGTTTTATTTAGATTCGATAATTGAAAGATGGGGTTGTCGTTTCTTTTTCATTTGGATTCGTCAACCGTAATGATAAACTCTTGCGTCTCACAGCACGGCACCATCCCCATACCATACTTACCACTTGTTTAAGCTCCATTTCATTAAGAAAATGTTTTTCGGAATTGTGATTTTTTAGGGAATTTGTGGTTAAAAAACCAAAAAAAATTGATTTATGTGTATAATTATTTTATAGGAGAATGCGTAGTTAAAAATGAGTCATTAAAAATTGAATTTTTGAAAAAATGGAGGTCAAACATTACGGTAATCACTATAAGCTCATGTATTCCGCTCATTCACCAACGAAAATCCCGACTGACAATTTTCCTGCCTTCCGCATACAAACATTGATGAAGTCAAATTGCAACAGAGCTTATCATCTCCAGGCAACAAAGAAAATACATTACGATGTCTAAGTTAGGAGCTCGGATCAAGAAAATCAATGAACAAAAGTTGATAAATCCCCTTGAGCATAATAACCACATAGAATCACTAAAAACTCCAATCACCACCTCATTTTACATGAGTTAGAGTCATAATTCTAGCCCCTAGACAAGTTCAGCGAAAAGCCAGAACCCAGAAGGCTCAAAGCTGCTTTCCTAGTTTAATCAGAATCAGCATGTATAAGCCCTTCTTGATCTTTCCCCATGACTCAAATTTGCACAAGGCAGGCAAAGAGTGTTACAACTAAAACCTACATGGACCTAAAAGCGTCTCTGTACACTGTTAGATGATTACATCGTCTACAGGTAAACTTGAAGATGCCTATGGATGACCATCAGCTGAGATGTAAATCATGATAATGATATGAACTATTTCAAACAATTGTATTGAATCAATTCAAGAGAAGAAAAGAGAAGAGAAGAAGAAAAATGAAGAAAGAAAACCACAATCTATTAAGCAACAACAAAAACTAGGGTTTTACAATGAAATAAAAATAGCACAAGGAAACCTAGAATAATAGGAAACCTAACATAAGGAAATAAATAAATAAATATATAAATATATGTTATTATCTCCCCTAAAACTCACGATACTAAAGCAAGAAGCAGCGAGAGTTTGTCACGCAAGAAGCGAAAACATTGAACAAGATGAGACTTAGTGAAAAAATCAACAAGCTGCAACGATGAAGAAACAAAAGGTAGGGAGACGGTGCCAGTCTGCAAATGATGACAAACCAAATGACAATCAATCTCAATATGCTTTGTGCATTCATGAAATAGAGAGTTTTGAAAGCTCTGAATAGCACTAGTATTATCGCAATACATAGGAGTTGGGGAAGAATGAGGAACCCCCATGTCTGCAAGTAACCATTGCAACCACACAATCTCGGTAGTAGTGAATGCCATAGCTCAATACCCTACCTCCGTAGAGGAACAGGAAATAACAGTCTATTTTTTACTTTTCCAAGAGATAAGAGAATCACCAAAAAATATACAAAAATCAGTAGTGGACTTATGATCAATAGGGTCACTATCCAATCAGCATCGGAGTAGGCACGGAGCACTAAGGATGAGGTCGATGGGAACAAAAGACTTTGAAAACATGTACCACGAAGATAATGCAAAATACAAACTGCTACCCAATGAACTGTAGTAGGAGCGAAAACAAATTGACTAATAATGTGAACAACATAAGCAATGTCAAGACGTGTGATGGCAAGATAAACGAGACATCCAACAATAGTGTGATACAAAGTACTATTAGTCAATGGTACACCATCAGAGGAAGAATATCGAGTGTTGGACTCAAGAAGGGTATCAACAGTTTTAGTATCAGTAAGGCTGGCACGCTCAATAACATCCATAGTATACTTGGACTGAAAGATAAGATAACTTCTAGGAGAAGAAGCAACTTCGATCCCCAAAAAATAAAATAGTGGACGCAAGTCCTTCATTTCAAAATGACAAGCCAATTCTAATTTCAAATTTGCAATTCCATGAACATCATCACCAGAAATAATCATATCGTTAACATATAGCAATAAT